TGCATTGTAAATTTTGGTCAATGACATGAGACAAAGTATATGTGAACTGCTGTATGAAAAGTGAATTTACTCTGTAAATCTTCACCCAACTCAAAATAAAATTAAAAAAAGAAAAATTTAAACCAAAAATATCCCCTAAAGTCCTCTTAAAACAATAGTTTAACTTAGTTAAAAAAAAAAAAAAAAAAAAGTCTGCCTTGAGCATTACGCTGTTTTAAGAACTATATGGGATCAAAAGGAGCTCTGGTGGTACAGTGGTTAAAGTGCTCTGCTAACCAAAAGGTCAGTGATTCAAACCCACCAGCCGTTGAGTGAGAGAGAGAGAGATTGTAGTATGGTTCCATAGGATGTACAGCCTTGGAAATCATATGGGGCCGTTCTATTGTCCTTACAGGATCTCCATAAGTCAGAATAAACTCAATAGCAATGGGAATATGGGATCAAAGTGACAACACAACTCAAAACATTAGATAAGAATTTCAGAGGGCATTGGGTCTATGTTAATAGGGAAGGAACACCTCAGCAAAGGAGGGTACAAATGGTTACACAACTCAAAGGATGTAATCAATGTCACTGAATCGCACATGTAGAAAGTGCTGAGTTGCTGTATGTTTTGTTATATATATATTCTCAACAATAATAGCAAATTTTGAAGAAAAAAAAAACTCAGCATACATTTGAGAGACAAAATGCAGGCCCTCGGACTGTGTATTTATATAAAATGACTCATGAAGTTCAGTCCCAGGTTGGGGAAACCTCACACTTTGAGAAAACCCTCCAGTTAAGTCCCACGGGTGTGTTGTGATGACTTGTGAGGTGTGGGGGTGGGGAGAAGGATCGCTGGTTACTAATTAAGGTAAGAACTGTAGCTGGTGAAATATTTACTTAACTGTACATTAGGGGAAACACAAGATTCCTGCTCTAATAAATTCACTCTTATACACTTCAGCAAAAAAAAAATAAAAATAAGAAACATTAAGGTGAAAAAATTTTAGGTACTCTATAGCAATTTCTGATTAGCTTGACGTTTTAGAGATGGCTAAGAATTGCCATCAGTGGGATCACGTTAAATGAACACTCTTACTAACTTGAAAAAGTCCCCACCCAAAAGCCAGCTATAGACATAATGTTACAAATTTAACTGAATGTAAAGTTATGTTAAAACCTATTTTATCGAAGTAAGAGAGGAATTCTTTTAAGTTATCACTCTGAAGCCACATATCAGGAAAAAGATTAAAAGATTACATTACTTTTAATGTTTAACTTTAATAGCACAGAAAGTAGCCTAAAGCACATATTCTTTTTTTTTCCCTCCTAGAGTTTGTTCTGATTTTCAGTTATTGTACATGAGTTCAACAATAAAAAAAATATTTTTAGATACATTACATTACTTTAAATCATATCACTCTACCCATGAGCTAATTTCACTGTTCTATCATTGTTTACATACATTCATAATTCTCCATAGACATAGCATAACAATAACATTTTATAGTTTACTGTACTTTTCTTTATTAGTATTATATCATTATATATATATTTTTATATTTCTACAGTTCACTGGGTCTTTTTAATGGCTGTGAAATATTCCACCAGGTACTCATACCTAAATTTAAATGGCTAATCTCACTCCTCATAAATGTATTCTTCATTCTCTGACTTGCAGTCATAATCAAGAAGTGATGACATTATTCTTTGTTACTGATCACTTACATTTTTATATTCAGAAGTAGAGCCCAAACTTCATTGGTTAATTATTCAGGAAGCATTCTGAAGTCTCCACTAATATGTCTTCATGTTTCTGTTTAGGAGCTCTGGTGGCATAGTGCCTAAGACATTTGACTGCTAACCAGAAGGCTGGTTGTATGTCTTCATTTTTCTATTTATAACATAAAAATTAACTGGACTACCATGCATGTTTGCTAAAGGCAATCTGTTACATTGCTTTTTTTTTTTTTTTTTGCAGAAAACATTTAGTCATTAAAGACAGCAGCATCTCAGCTCGAGCATCTTTAGGCTGTCAGCGTACCCTCTAAAACAATAGCAGCACCACCCCTGATGTCAACTCTTCCATCAGCACGCACTGAAATCACCAGCTCTCCTCCTCGGGAAGAACACTGAAAGGCTAAAGAGATCAGAAAACAAGTCACAGACTGAGATCAATTCCCCCATTCTAATCAACAGAACAGAGTGAGACCTCTTATAAGCCCTAGCATTCTCCAAGTTCATTTTAAAAATAAAAAATTTGTTCACCTGTTGATACTGTCCACCCCCACCATCTTGAGGACTGAGAGCACTGCAAATGCAATCTGATCTACAAAATACACAACTCCTTCTCTTCCCTTTCTTCTCCAGGCCACTTTTTCTACTACTCCTGTACTGCCCCAGACACCCTATGCATAGCTTCCTCCCAGCTTTCTCTAAGAGGAAGGAAGGGTGTGTGGAAAGATTGAGGACAGACTAGACCTCTCAGAAGTGAAGCAGGGTGGTCTGGGCCCTCCTGACAAGGCCCCATCTTCCCAGTTCTAATGTCCACTGCCTGGTGCTACAGATATGGTGGAAGATAGGACAGAATTCCTTCACTCAAAACCACTGCATGAGCCAGGCAAACAAAAGAGAGAGTCCCTGCCTTCCTGAGCTCTGGGCCTGCAGGAGCAATTAGAGTCAGCAAGGAAAGAGACAGCCAAGCTGATATCCCCAAATCAAGGGCACAGTAGCTGAATTCTCCTACTAAATAAGTCCTCCATCCTTTAGGATTCGCTGATAATCAACAGCATAGCCTCCAGTGACTATAATCTCATGTCTGTGTGCTTGAGCAACATATTAATCACCAGGGGACTTGATCACAAAGTAATTTGTTTGATTGTTAGCCCATGACTAGCAATGTCAGTATGGAACCTTGATGATCATCAATGATCATCGATTCTCAATCTATCACACTATGCATAATTTCTCTGGGCCATGTTGTTGCTGTTAGCTGCCATCAAGTCAGCCCCTGACTCGTGGCTACTCCATGCACAATGGAACAAAACACTTCCCAGTCCTGCACTGTCCCATGATCAGTTGAAGATCAAACTATTGTGATTCATAGGGTTTTCATTGGCTGGTTTTCAGAACAGATAGCCAGGCCTTTCTTCCTTGTCCATCCTAGTCTAGAAGCTCTGCTGACACCTGTTTAGCACCATAGCAACTGGCAGCCAGGTGGTCACTAGAGGTACACTGGCTTGGAATCAGAGTCTCCTGCATGGACGGCAAGAATGCTACCACTAAACCACCGGTACCCCCACTCTCTCAGCCATATAATTAGCTAATTTTATTCAATAAACATTTATTGGAAGGAGCCCTGGGATCACAATGGTTACAATACTTAACTGCTAACTGAATGCTTGGCAGTTCAAACTCACCAGCCACTCTGTGGGTTAAAGATGAAATAGTCTGTTTCCATAAAGAATACAGCCTTAGAAATCCTAAGGGGCAGTTCTACTCTGTCTATAGAGTCACTATCAGTCAGAACAGACTCAATGGCAATGGGTTTTGTTTTTGGTTTTGGGTAAACATTTACTGGGCACTTACGTTTGGCTGCTAGCCAGAAGGTCAGCAGTTCAAACCCACCTGCTGCTGTGTGGAAGGAAGATGGAGCGATCTACTTCCGTAAAGATTTATATTCTCAGAAACCCAACGGGAGACACTATGAGTCTGATTCAACTGGATGGCAGTGAGTTTGAGTTATTGTATTAAAAGGAGCTCTGGTGGTATAGTGGTTAAGGCATTTCGTTGCTAACCAAAAGGCTGGTGGTTTAAACCCAGCAACCACTCCATGGAAGAAAGGTGGGGCAGTCTGCTTCCATAAAGAGTTACAGCCTTGGAAACCCAATGGGGGTCACTATGAGTCAGAATCTGCTCTATAGCAGTGAGTTTTGTTTTTTTTTTTTGTTTATTGTATTAGAAGGTCTGTGGAGGGTGGGTGTTTTGGTTATCTAGTGCTGCTCTAACAGTAAATACCACAAGTGGATGGTTTGAACAAACGGATTTATTCTCTTAGAGTTTAGGAAGCTAGAAGTCCTAGTTCAAAGTGCCAGCTTTAGGGGCTAGATGAAAGCCCCTCGACCTTGGGCTTTGGCTCTGCCTCTTGCTCCTGGCCCACTGGAGCTGAAGGTGTCTCTTAACTCAGGCAGCTGCTGGCTGTTGAGGCTGACAAACCCAAGGTTGACAAGTAAAGTGGCACAGTCCAAAGATTATCAAGCAACACGGCAGGCCACTAGTTCAAGTCTAGAAACAGTCCCAAGATCGGCAGACAACATACCAGGCCACTCACTGAATGACTTGACCAAACATAGGATCCAAAAGTGCCAAGAAGCTCAGAGACCTTTCACAAAGCATCTTCTTATATACTGGAAGCAGACCACATCCCTAAGACAGCTACTCAGCTGCTCACAGTAGATTCCACCACAGAGTTGATTACCAGTCTCATCATGGGAAATAACTACAGCCAGCTGCCCAGCCACTCAAAACCAGGCCCAGCCAAGTTGACACATAACCTTAACTACCACAGTGGGTACAGAGGGTGGAAGATGTTTTGGGTAAAGGGTTAAGGGTAAAAGAATCTAAAACCTTTCATTTTCTTATATGTGGCTTTTAATTACATTTTCAAATGGATGGAAATAGGGAAAGGAGCATCAGCTCAATGTTGTTGTTGTATCATTATTGTCGTTGTATGCTATCCAGTTGATTCTGACTCACAGCAGCCCCTTACAGTGAGTAGAGCTGCTCCCATAGCTGTGATCTTTCTTAGCTGTAATCTGTACATAAGCAGACCATCATGTCTTTTTCGCTCACACCTACTAGGTGGATTGAACTGCCAACCTGACGGTGAGCAATGGAGCACTTAACCATTGAGCTACCAGGGTTTCTTAGCTTAAAGTTAGATAAATAAAAAAGAAATTGGAAAAGAGAGATCCTACCATGCATCTCTTTCTTTCCCAGCTGTTGGGACCAGTAGCTGCTGAGAACAGTATGTGCAGACCCTTCAAAGAAACAAAAAGTTCTAAGTCAATCCCAAATAAATCAAGTGATGGCTTTATGGCAAATTTATAAGCAATTACAATCTATCACACAAAATAACTCCAGTTTGACTAAGCCTTTGATGACCTAATCATTATATTAGCTGTGGCCACAGCAAAGAGTGCAGAATTAGCAAGTAGAAAGGTAGACATAGAATTTATGGATAAACTCCTCCAAATTAGGTCTCCAATATGTCTTACATTTTCTGAAGGTTGAATTAAACTGCAAGTTAGTCTTGTTAACTAGCTCATTCTCAGCCTGTGGTGAGGAGACCAAGGGCTTCACATAGATATTTCTACTTCTTTCAAGTTAAAATAGTTCTTTCCCCCAGGGAACACATGCACAGAAAGGCAGGCACTATGACACAAGGTGTAATTCTCCACCAAGCCAATATTGCCTGGTTTTTGAAATTTCCATTTAATGAGTGTTTCTTCACATGATTGTGTCCTATCAGAGAATATATTTTAAAATGAAGAAACAAAATGTAAAATATAACAGATACAAAAGCCTTTGAGGGAAAATGAATACGGAGAACTGGGAGCTCTGGTAGCATAGTGCCTAAGGCACTTGACTGCTAACCAGAAGGCCAGCGGTTCAAACCCACCAACCACTCCTCGGAAGGAAGGTTGGGCAATCCACTTCCATAGTGATACTGCCTCAGAAACCCAAGGAGAGGTCGCTATGAGTTGGGTCCGACTCGATGACACATAACAACAACAACAACCAGGAAAACTGATTAAATGTCATGCGAGGTCCAAATAAGGTGACCAGCTGTCCTGGTTTGCCCAGGTCTGTGCTGGTTTTAACACTGAAGATCCTACATCATAAGAAATACCCCTCAGTCTTAGGAAAACAGGGATAGTTGGTCATTACTGTCCAAAGACCTTCACGCTCTAGAAGAACATTATTATAGAAAAAAAAAACTTGACCTCAGTGCCAGGTGGAATCTTTGGGAAGCAAATGTGCATGTACAAATGTGCTCAGAACTTCTCTTCCATGTGGGAAGGGCTGAGTTTGACTATCTGGATGTTTTAGGGCATTTTCCTGAGTCTTTAAAAGTCTTACTTGCTGAACTTTGCATTTCATATGTTTTGTTCCTCAAAGAATAAGTCAAGGTACCGAAGCCATCTGACCAAAAACCTGAGCCTCAAAACCTGTGCCCAGCTTCCTTTGCCCTCCTACCATCCACTCCACCAAGCCCTTCGTCAAGCATCTCTGCTCTTTTGCTACTCAGCCCACTGCTTTCAAAGAGGGCGAAAGTAGGAGGCTTGACATTGCTGCCCATCTTTGACTCCATGCCTCTGCTTCAAACTGATCAAAGATCCCCAATACCCACTCCCAGAACCCAGCCCCAGCCCACTTTAAGAGCAGGCCGAGGAAAAGAGGAGAGGAAAAGAAACACGATTCTTGTTCCTATTTTCCACCTGCAACCCAGGAGTTTATCCTTCACAAAGCAAACCTTATCTAGATGTCAAAGATGCCACAAGTGATGCGATAATGACAGGTCTATCACTAAAAAGGACAAAAGTTTTTCAGAATCAGCCTCTGAAATTTTCAAATTCCAAATCTAGAAGTGTTGGCTCAGGGAGCCAGATTCATTGTTATTATTAAAATAGTTAATAGTTTACCAGAGGTGGGCAGGAGGGAGGGGGAAAGGAAGACACAAAACTTAGGTAACACTGAGCTTCTGTTAGGGATGATGGGTTTAAAAAAAAAAAAAGGCTAATAGTTATTGGGTATTTACCGTGTGCCAGGCACTTAACATCCACTGTATTGACACAATCTTATAAGGTATCACTTATTAGTTACAGACAAAGGACCTGAGACTAAAAAGTTAAGTAACTTGCCCATGGTTGAAAGCTAGAAAGCTAGGATGGAAATACAGGGTGCCTGACACTAAGCTTTAGCCCTGCTAGACTGCCTCCTTTTATTTTGTGCTTGTCACATGAGACTTCAGTGAAGGGATGAGGAGGAAAAAGTGAAACGAAGGCAGCTTAAAGTCCAAGCAACCTGAAAAGTCACTTGAAGGACACTTCCACAGCTATGTGTTACCCTCCTCCACCATTGTTTAACCATCCCCTGAACCCAAATAAAAACATACCTGTAACAGGGTCTTCAGCCACACCAACCCACGGTGCAAAATATCTGGAGTAAAAGTCAAATGCTGGGGTCTGCCCCCCAGGCTCTCCTTTAAGGGTAAGAATCAGTCCTTTCACTTTCCCTGTGTTTTCAACTTGCAGCAGATTCTGTGTGTTCACTTTCAGGTCCTCCAGAAATGACCTTGTTCATAAATGGATAGAATAGGAGACACACATTTCACACACCACCCATTACACTGACTCTGTCAAACAAGTGTGCAGCTTGCCCCAAACAGCTGAGCCGGAGGGGACAGAAGAGCAAGTAGTAATGCTTTCCTCCTGGGGGAGGAAATTCTCTGGCTGAGTAAATCATGGTTTGACTGGAGACAGCACAGCCAGGCCACACCTGAGCTATACATCTGGGTGCTCAGCAATCCCAACAGCGTTTAGGAGGCCTGAATCTTTTTACCTGTCATAGGTATCACTGAGCCGGACGAGGAGCTTTCGGGTATCTGGGGAATAACAGATGTCCTGGACCAGAGTGTCACCGATAGCAGTCTGTGGCAACAAACCAAAAATGCCTCAGTAGGGCCCTGGGACAGTCCTTGGTCCCTTGTAATGGGAAACAGCCCCTCATTGATCATCTGCTCTGTGCCAGTCACACCCATTGTCCCTAATGCCATACAGTTTTAGTTCAATTACAGGGCTCAAGATGTTGCCCAGAGAAGACTAGTTTCCTGGTATCCAGAGACCTCTGAGGGACCCTTCAGGTTACCTTCTGTGATCCTCAGGCGAGACCCTCTCCTTCCTATTGTTGCCAACACACACAACTCCTTCAGGTGGGTATTTTCCCCACAGATGAGGAGAGAGAGAGTTAGAGGGGTCCAGGGTCTCACACACACACACATCTGGACCCAGGTTTGCGTGGCCCAGGAGTGTAAGTTCTGAATCACTATGATCTACTTACTGTCTTTAGAGATGGGGCATGATCTTAGATGATGGGGCTCACCTCTTGGAGTTGTTGTAAGGATTATGTGAAATAATATATGTAGAGTACTTGCAGCAGCAACTAGAACATTCACCATGGCAAAGGCTCAGGACAAGCAGTTTGATGGAAGTAGGGACTAGAGGACTCATCTTGATGCTTTCCTTGGCAAGCACACTGCTTTCATGTAGATTGTATGTGACAGATGAGTAACATGCAACATTTTCTAAAGATACCTTGATTTACCCTTTAGTTAAACTGGCACATAATCTTGCTCATACCCAAGAACATTGTTTGTTTGTTGGGGGAGTGGGGTGGTGATGAAGGGACAAACGGTTCCCAGACCAACCCTTGCCAGCACCCCCAGCTGCCAAGCAGAGCAGATGATAGTTACATGGCAGTTGTATGGCAGGCATTGGTGGCTTCAGGTGATCTAATCCTTTTGAGGGACTAATATGCTTGAATTCTGGTGACCTAGACTCCCTCTGCATCAGGCTATGCCTGGCCCATCTGCCTCTGTGACCAGAGCCAGCCTACGTCACTTCCTCTAGAAACAGGAACTCCTACAGCCAGATCCCCTGTGTTCTTTCTAATCCTGCCCTTCTCTTCATGCATTCCTATGTCAATTTTAAAGTTTAATTCTCAACTGGGAATCTTATTGTCAGGTCCTAGGGAGAAATACTAAATGACAGTACTCACAAAAACTAACCCTTTCTTATCCACATGTTACAAATGCTGACTCTTAGGTTAAGTTCTTCCCCCCATGAATAAGGTCCACCATAAGAATATTTTCCATTTTCTCACCAGTATGTTTCATGTTTATTTATAAATTGGACTTGGCTTCTGAAACTCAAGCCACGTGTGGGGCTGAATGTAATATCAGAATCCATGAGGCTTGTTTATATTCTCTGAAAACTTAGATACAGCAAAACATTAAAGAGACTATAAAGACTGCAATTAAAAATTCACTGACAAACACCCAGCGGTATCCACAGAAAGCCATTTTATGGAATGTCTTTTCTCATGACAGCCCTCGCCCCGGCCCTGACTTGTCTCCTCTGCACACTAAGCACATGTCATTTGTGGGCTGCCCTGGCCCTTTGGAACCTCCACAGAACAATTAACTGTAGTAACAACAACATAACAACAACAACAACCTACCTCACAGGGTAGCAGCAAGAATTAAACGGAATGATACATGAAACACATAGCATGTGGCCCTGCACGGGGG